TATGCCAGGACTAACCCACGGCACTCACTACGCACTACAATCATTGGCAGACTCTATTCTATGGAGAATGTAACGTGACAACGCGCAGGCAACGGAACGTTTTTAATGACGATCCGTTCAGACGACTACCGAAAATCAGCAGGCGGGGTTGTGTCATCTAGCGCTCACAGGAAGTGGAGTTGGATTTGTATGACGCAGTTTGTCCAGTTTTATGCGTATAGTAATAACAATCACTTATTAGGCGCTTATTGTTTCGAAAGAGGCCAGAGAGAGCCATGGACATTAAAAACAGTTATTGATGAACTTGTAAAAGGTAAAAGTAAATCATTAAAATTCAGGTGAAAACAGCAATGGAATACCATATAACAAATGCAGTAATTCATCTAATAAAATATTCAAAACAAATTTCTATGACATTTAGGCGTGTCAATGTCATCATCAGGCAATATAATGCTTATGCTATTACTGGTTTATATACAACCGATCATATTATATGCTTATACCATAGTTATATTCTCACAAGCCTGATACTTCAGTAATATTAGTTTGCATTTTCTAGAACATTTTTTTCTTGTAAAAGGGTAAATCAATAACTATCCTTTGTGGATTTTCCCAAATTACAGAACCTAGGAATTCAATATTTTATATTTTTTTTTTTTTTTTTTGTATTTTGAGGTTTTTTTTTCCATTCCAATTATATATTTTACGGAAAAAAAAAAAAAAAAAAAAAAAATTATTTGCATAGTGCGTATTCCTGGTCATGTTTTGATTGGTTGGTTGTTAGGTTTGATTGACACCGTGTGAAGCGGTCCATTCAGTAACGCCCCTAAACAAGGGGTCAAAGGTTAATATTGTCAAGGGAAAACAAATGAATGTCTGGTATTCTCATCTCGTGAAAGTGTTGCAACGTTGTAACAATGGGGAAGATATGCATACTAATTCTGCTACTATTTGACTCTGGTTTGTATAATATAATTATTTGTTATTTTTAAATTGGTCTGTCACTCAATTTTATGTAAGTTTTGTTGTAAATTTTCTGGCGTACAGGGTAGACCTAGGTAGAAAGCTAGGCCTAGCTAGAGGAAGGAGAAAATCACAATGCTTACCAGGACCACCCATGGGGCCATGGCCAGGTATTTGGCACTGTACTGATCCTAGTTCTAGCCTAGGCCCTACACCTGACTAGCCACTATATAGGCCTAGGCCTAAATTTTGTTAAATAAAAATATAGCCAATGCACATGTCATAGGATGATGTTGGGTACTGTATGTTATTTGTTTATCTAAATAACGATAAGTTAGTGGCGATGTTCGTATTCTTTAATTGAAAGTTTGGAAAAAAAACTTATGCTGGACTTCTGGCTACCATGAAATGTTAATAAATAAATAACAGCATGCAGTAACTGTACTGTATACTACATCCATTTTGAAACATTTACTGGTAACTGTAATGTACTGTAGTGTACTGTAGGCTATTTCCCTGTAAATAGAGAAATGTACAGACTGCATTTAGGGCCTAGTTCCCAGGAGTCCTGCAGAGTCCTGGGTGGGAGTCTAATGGAAATCGTCTGGAAGGCCTCTACCCCATGTACAAGAAAGAATCTTTCACCAAGTTTTTACTAAGTCATCAATTATCTCTTTGAAGTTTGTGCCAATGGCTATCACTTGCACATCAAAATACATGTTAAGAAAACTAATTTAAACAGATCTCAAGATCCCAGATGTGGATTTCTTCAAACTTGCCCACCCTTGAGTGCCACTGCCAGTCTTTAATCACTGTATTGTAGGGTCATTCTGTGTCAAATCAACAAATGGGGGTATGGGGCACCTCTCGGATTCTGGTGAAATTTTTTTATAAGGTTGATTTATCTATATAATGAACACACATGCAAAAATAGAATTCCCAAATCCAAGTGGTTTCCATGTTATGGCCTGTAAAAATTATGTACTACTATAAAATGCGTTGAATGTGCGTGAATCACGTTTATTTTAATATTTTGTATTTCGAAATGTCCTTTGAAGTGTTTTAGATACAAAGCTGAAAATTGCTGTACATAGTCAGTTTTGGCCAAGGAACTCAGATCTTTCATCAAAAGACATCTCATCTTCTCTTTTCTCTATGAGCCGCTGAAAGTGACAGTTCGTTCAGTCGGTCAAATTAAGTTTATTTATCAGACCTCAAAATTACCCATTTAAATTACTATAGTCTGATAAAGTACATATATATTGTATAGTCACATGCATACTCCCAAGCAAGGTTAGGACTTTTATTCTTTAAACCAAAATTTCATAGGGTTCCAAAGTTCGTAGCACACAGGTTATATTGTCATGATGTGCCTATGGTCATGAAGCAATGTCATTATGACCATATTTTGGGATGTCCCATGATTTTGATAGAGCTTTTACTGTTTCTGAATATATTTCTATTGTTTAGTATTGGCTGGCAAAAAGGATGTGTTTGGTATACACTCCATCACCTTTGACACAGCTGACCTGACTGTAATATCAACGGTGGATATCAAGGCAGAACTATGGGGTCAAACGCACGAGTGTAATAATGTAAGCATTATTTCAATTCCTCATGACCTATGCTGTGTCAACTACTTTAACTGCTTTCTAATGATAATACCATTGTAGAAAAGGGCATATAAATAATAATAATAATATTTATTTGACATTACACTTTTACAACAGTGGCAGCACACAAGAAAGTGGCACAGTCAAACTTAAACTAATGAACAAAGAGGAAAACAACAACTTAAAGCTAAACAAATGAAAGAACCTACTAAAGAAGATACAATTTAGAGATAATATAAATCATAAACATCCCTCACCCTCCCCACACAAATAATGTACATAATACACATTATAGTATAAGAATACACACACATACATACACACACATATCCACATACACATACACACACATATAAGTATACACACATAAACATATACATACATACACACACACATATACATAAACATATACACACATACATACATATATACTGTACATATATATGAATGCAAGGTCAATACATTGTGTATGATTGATATTTTAGATCACTTCCTCATTCTGATTTATAATACAAAACTGTTTTCTAATAATATAATGAACTTGTGAAAGGGATACAAGCAATTTCTTCAATGTGTAGTGTTTTGCACACTATGTGTGTGCCAGTACATTTAATTTTATCTTATGAAAAAATAAACAGTTTTTTATTTAAAAAATTACAAAATAAATGAGGGTGGAATGTTTTTCGTTTGTGGGTTGGGAAATTGTCAGATTTTTAGTATTAGTCTTGTAACATTTTACCTAAACATGGCAGTGTAGATGATATTTTTTTTATTTATTATTTATTTCAAAATCATCCAACAGTGACCAGTGTCGCCCATAACAGGATTAATACATGAAAATTGGTACATAAAAAATTTATATAAGTAATATAACATTAAATTCAAATATAGGTCTAAAAATAATTAAAAATATAAGAAATTCACTTGGTAATAGAAGTAAAAATAGTAGTAATTTTGTGACGGAAGCAGTTAAGACTATCAAAACATATATCTAAGGAAAGATTGAAACAGATAGAATGTGAATATGAAAATAACACTATTTGTAAAATGCTAGTCAAGTGGCTATAAGTATTCCAAAATTGAAATATATCTTACAAAAACAAATAAAAGTATAAAAATTGCAAAAACAAATAAAAGTATAAAAATTGAGGCGGCAACAATGACAGGAATGTAAAACATAATTTTTTTTTTCTTAACAGCCCGACTACTAAAAGGGGGGCTTCTCACTGGATATGACTATTCTAAAACACAGCCATTTAACTTTGAATTTGTAATCAAGTTTTAAGATTATAAATTTTTTTTTTTTTAAAATTAAAGTGCACTCTAATTAAGATCAAAGACATTGAACCTCCGCCATCATCTCAGAATCGGAGTCGGATCCAGTTAAAAATGGATACAAGGTACCCGACTAGATTGACGGTAATACCTGTGAAACAACATGTCATTAATTCAAACCCAGACTGCAGGTAAATGATAGTACATTAAGTGAATGTTTATGAGCGCAATGGGAAGAATACTTTCATGAGTTGAAAGTTTGACTGTTTCATACGACAAGGCGAAGCTGAGTTGAATGGAACAGTCAATCTTTTAACTCATGAAAATATTCTTTCCATTGCACTTTATATTAAAAACATTCATTATTTATTTTATAACATATCTAGAGATTCTTGTCATTTTATATTTTATGAATAAATCTACCTTTTTTTGCAGAATAGAATTCTTGTCATTGGAAAAATATACCCTTTTTCTAATTAGAATAAACCAGTGTCATTTTAACTGATCAAAAGATTGTGTTAGGTTGAAGTCATATCATATCATATCGTAAAAACGGGTGGATAGAAAATGCAGGGATGGAAATAAATTTCCTTGATGAGTGACGAAATGGGGTAAATAACCAATGTCACATGATACGAAATCCACAACCAAATGACAGGGATTTATATAGGTGTGTTATAATACAGTATTGTAATAATACTGTACTACAGTATTTATTAAGCAATTATACTCAGGTTTTGATTACACTATCGGAAAGCCAAATGAGCCATTATTTTCCCCCAATTTTTAAAGGAAATAATGGTCTTAAGGCTTCTATATAATATTGTACGAATATGGCTACTGTATATAATTGCTTTACAAGTTAGTTGTAATGTCCATCACCTTTTATATGGCCCTTTAATCAAACTGCTGGTTGTGGTGGCTGGTTGCTCAGTGACTGTGGAAGTGCATTGGCTGCGCATATTAGAATAATTAATTTTGTGTGTAGTATGCAAACTCACACTCTTCGCACAGAGCTCTTCGTGATATGAAGAAAATGAATAAATTTATTGTGGTTATTGTAGTTTATTAGTGGTTATTAGGTAGGCCTAACCTGGTAGACATTTGTTTAATAGATTAAAATGTAATTGTAAACATTATTACGAATTTATTCAGCATTGCCTTATTTTTTCAGTTATTTTGTAAGTCAATCATCTTGTTATCTCATAACCATTGTGCCTTTCTAGGCCTTGCTTAGGACAGTCTAGTGTTCATTCGTGTTAACCAGCGCTGTAGAGCGAGATTTGTTAGGTTCGCTGTGTGTATGCTCTTACTGTAGCTTGGACTAGCAACAATTCCACTGACTAATGTACTGTTGTATAATCTCCCCAGCTCTGAGCTTTTTGCAGAAAACGCAAAAAATCGGAGGCATTATATTGAATCATGGATAGGAAAATTCATTGCAAATGAACCTGATGATGTCACCACTGACTTGAATTATGTCATATCCTTATTAATAGGCACAATTGGTGACTGGAGTTGTACATGCATAGTTTGGACAAATTTGAAAACAGAGAGAGCAAGTAATGTTCAGTATAGGAATTTAGTGTTCAATAATTAATGTTGGTTGAAAAATCAGTAAACTACTTTTAAATTCTTGGAAGTTGAAATAAAGAATATTTGGCTAATTTACTCTAAACAATACTGACCCCAAAATATCGAGATATTTTAAGAATAGTTAGCCTTACTGTACAGTAGACGCCTGTGTCTGCGGACATATTACGCTCTGGCGGAGTCGGATGCGTGGAATGAAGCTGGACACGCACGGTCGTACAACAAATCTAACTCCGCTCCCTGTGAGTGCTAGACCGCGCGAAACTGTCCGCTGATTTTCTGCAGTCTGAGCTGACCATCGGTAAAAAACGATCAGTTGCGTGGATGTCGCCGACTTGCATTCTTCATAGAATCGCGTGGCCGATGATCATCAGGCGCACTGAGGGCTCAGCTTTAGGATTCTATTAAAAAATAATTTTTATTTATTTATTTGGTATGAAAAAAACAACAGCCGAGGCTAAAATGGTTTGTATTACTATTTAAAAAGGCAAATACAAAAACATTCAATGGAAAAATACATCAATATCAATATTCAAAAATCTATATAAATATATGATGTCGATTACATATTCGAACTGTACATTACGTATTCGATTGTATATATTCGAACTCTATGCCCACTAAAAGATTACATGATGAATTCCACTATAAAGAAACACTATTTTGAACAACTATATTGCCTTTTCTGGCCAATTTGCAGGAGATGGATCAGTTTTCATGAGATTTTGCTTGCTCTTGGTCCCGCAAGAGACCCATGTTCAAGATCAGCAGTGGCTGGTTTTGAACCAAGAAACATGTTCTCCAGGCCCCGCTTTTTTTTTCCCGTGGCGCCACCTTGCTCTTTCCTAATTGGAATGTGGTTTTTCGTTTTTCAGCATCCCTAATATCCACTTCATGGAGAACAGGAACTACAGTTTATTTGTGAACTTCAACAGCAATAATGACAACCACACGATTTCCTGTAACCTGATAAAACCAGGCGACTTGGATCTCAGCTATGTTCGTAAGTTGATTTTCCCTCCCCCATTCCCAGGGAAGGTGGTTTGTTGAAATTTTAAATTAAACAATAGCATACAAGTACTGAAATATTTTATAAGATCATAATACTGAACATAAATCCTACCGTTGTTGAATACATATTCATCTGTATAATTATAATATATTCTATATCGATACTGTATAATTATATTACATTCTATATCAAAAATAATTGATTCTTCCGCATTTCCAAAAATTCTGGATCTGCCTCTGTAAAACATGCTGAAGAGAAACACACCAATATATGTTTATATTAAAAGAGAAAACATGATGATCTCTAAATTATTTTTTTCATGTTATTATAATTTTTCTCTTGATAGCAATTTTGGTTGCAATTGGAATATACATTGCATTGGCTTTCCTTTACATGCTTTTTAGTACGGCACTAAGGTAGGTTTTTAACATCTTAATATTGTCATGAATTTGTTTTAGTTCACTCAGTAATAGATAATGTAGCATAGTGATTGTATCAATGTTGATAGTGGTTATTGGTGATTATAATAGTCGTGGTGGTGTGGTTAACTTTCTTGGTAGTGATGATGGTTGTGGTGATGATTATTTTGACAGTAATGATGTTGGTATTGGTACTGTTATAATCATTGTGATGGTTATGAGAATGATCTTTATGATGGTGATGGGAATGATCAGGGTGATGGTGATGAGAATGATCATGATGATGGGAATGATCATGGTGGTGATTAGAACGATCTTGGTGATGGTGATGGGAATGATCATGGTGATAGTGATGAGAACAATCTTGATGATGGTGATGGGAATGACCATGGTGGTGCTGAGAACGATCTTTATGATGGTGATGGGAATGACCATGGTGATGGTGATGAGAATGATCACGATGATGGGAATGATTATGGTGGTGATGAGAACGATCTTTGTGATGGTGATGAGAATGATCAAGGTGATGGTGATGAGAATGATCTTGATGAAGCCAATAAAAAAAATTCTTGTGTTGGCCACATTTTGGAAAAATTCAAAAAATGGGTAGGTCGGTAGGAAAAGTTTTTTTTAAATTTATTTATTTTTTTTTAACCAAAAATGTTTGCGAATGAGAGTACGTTTGGTATAAATAGTTAAAATAAAAATAACGCTAATTAAGGATCGACGTTTCAACTCCATCATGTAGTCATTCTCAAGTTCAAATGAGTTAAATAAGAGTACTGCTTACTAACTAAAAACAAAAGATCAAAGTTCATTACAATGGGACAGTAATTAGCCATGCCAAAAATTGTTTATGCCTAAAAAGTAGAAAACACACAAAAATACAACAAAGACCATCTTTTAAATCTAAATTGAAGAGCAAAACGATCGCATAACACTGTCGCTCCGCCTACCATCGCAAGATAGGCCTATTCCAGCCTTTTTAGCTCATTAAAAAACTGAAATCCCGACTCTCAATTTCGAACATTTTGAATCGGTCGGGCGTGGCCAACACAATAATTGTTTTTATTTGGCCTGATGGTGACAGGAAGGATCATGGTGATGGTGATGAGAACGATCTTGATGGTAGTGTTGGGAAGGATCATAGTGATGGTGATGAGAACGATCTTGATGATGGTGATGAGAATGGTGATGGTGATGAGAATGGTGATGGTGATGAGAATGATCTTGATGATGGTGATGAGAACGATCTTGATGGGAATGGTGATGGTGATAAGAACGATCTTGATGATGGTGATGGGAATGGGGATGGTGATGAGAACCATCTTGATGATGGTGATGGGAAGGATCATGGTGATTAGAATGATAATAGTGATGGGATTTATAGAAGATTTTTTTCTATAGGAATCAGTGGATTTACAAAATATGCTGTTGCCTGGGTACAAGTAGATTAGTCAACAATGTGAGTATTTACTACATATTCATTACTTTTTTGCTTATTTATTCATTAATTTAATAATTATTTTTATGTATTGTTATATACTAATTGTTTATTTAATTTTTGTTTTATTCAAATTATTCTTTATATAAATTCAGTGAAATATATGAATATTTTATGTAAAATATCATTAACAATAAATTTTGCTAATGAATTTGTGAAGATTAATGTTTGTAAAAGTGTATAGTCTTCATCAGACATGTTTTCTTTATAATTTAAGGATCTTGGGGCACCAGGCGATCCAGTGAGCGAAACAGTAAACTCAATCAGCCCGGCAGATAACAACAAAAAACCAAAATCCAGAAGACTCAAGTCCTTGGACACTTTCCGGGGGTATTTCATTTTTTGAATGTTTCATGAATTAACTTAATATGTCATCATAATAATAATAGAAGTATTTATATTGCACCGTATATATATATATATATAAAAAAAAAAAAAAATTTGAAGGCTTTACATTGTTGGCAGACTTTTAACCGACTGTATGGCTAACGAATCATGTTGATGCATGTTGGCGATAGTCTGAGTGAATCGGGCTACACTACACATTATGCTAAACCTATTGACTAAATTTTCTTTTTTTTTCTTAGAATATCTATAGTAATTATGATATTTGTTAATTACAAAGGAGGGGAATACTGGTATTTCCAACATTCACGATGGAATGGTTAGTGGATTTTATTAAGAGTTTGCTGTAGAAATTATAATATAATAATAATAATTTCTATTAATTATATAAACACACTGCTTCTGCTTATTCTGTAACACTGTTTATCTTTTTCACCTTTCTGGAGCTGTATCAAAATCATTATGTCAGAGGCACAGTTAAAACGGAAGATGTGATTTTTGACAAAACATTTCTGTATATGGAGCAAAGATCTTATAAACACAAGATGGCGTTCTTCGCGATTTTATGCGTAACAAATAGAAGCGTCGATTTGGCACAGAAATGTACAGTAATCTGGATCTAAGATAGGGTGTTCATGTTACGCCAAATTTTGTTACCAAGTACGTTAATTTGTTCCTTACGTACGTTCTAAAAAGAGGGCGTATTGTAAATCGGACGCTTCTAATTGTTACGCGTAAAGTCATGCGGCGTACGCTATGGTCAGAGCGGTCGAGGTTCAAAAGTTTTAAATTTTGCAAGAGGGCGCTGTTCATGCGTTATTACAGAATTTGCACACGTAAATTACGAAGAACGCTATCTTGTGTTTATAAGATATTTGATATGGAGTTACAGTACTAGCATTAAATAGTTAATTTGCCTTTCTACTGAGTATTTTCTTCACCACGACTAAAATTTTCTTGACACACTTTCTCCATCTTATTTTGACCTTTGCATTATCAGGGGGTCCCAATCCCCCTGCAGGTCGTGGGAGTCTCCCTGAAATAGGGCGGCTGTCCCATGGCAAATCAACGTAACTGCTGTTATATTTTTGTGCAGTTACGTTGTTTTACCTTGGAACAGCTGAGGGATGGCCTCCCACATTAGTGTAAGCAAGCAAGACCCCAATAAATCTCTCACAAGTCCATAATTTGATGTTTTTACTATTAAATGTTTTAAAAAGACTCATTTAACCAAATATCCCGAAAGTGACTCCTTCCAACCTGAAACCTCTGCGTAATTTAATTTCATTTTTTTGTCTTCTAGTTTATTGCATTAATACTTATTGGGCATTCTTTTGTTAGATTCATTTTTTAATTTGATTTCACATCATTATTGAGTGTGGTTGGCAAACTTGTAATAGGTCAGCCTTAATATTTTAGGAATTCAGATAATTACTATGTTTCAAATCATTATGAACTGTTAGTGTAACATTTTTATTAAACTGATTTCATGTTTATTTATTTATTTTTTGGAATATAGGTTTGACAGTGGCTGATCTTGTTTTTCCATGGTAAGTATTTGTAAAAAAATTGTTGAAACTTATTTTTTGTTTAGAAGAACAAGTGTGGAGCTGCTATTATTTAGATATAATTGATAAATCAGATTATTATGCAAAATGATTAAACCTTTATCAGATGTTGAAACATAATTTTATATGTAGAGGGCCGTAGCTTCTAAAGGCTTCATCCCTACCTTGGCCTGCCATTCAACACCGCTGGCCCATAGATGGCCCCAGTTGGTGGCGTTCAGGCCTTGAAGTTTACACCAAAATGTTTCAATTCAATTTCAGTTTATTTCACTTGCAAATATATATTAATAACAAGTGGAGTAACCAAAAAGGCAAAGCTTGTAAAAATAGCACACAGTCGTACTAATATTATTAACAATAGCAAAAAGACAATACAGTAATATGGATAGGCTTGACCATATAAATGAAATTAATGAGCAGTAACACCTGAACAAATACCGTAAAACCTTGAATTGAAGCCCAGTGGGCTTAATCTCGAGGTGAAGCCTCCCCTCTTTAGTTTGCAAAATTAGCCTCGCATAGGCTTCTTTTCGAGATATATAGTAGTTTAGGTGATTTAATGCCAGTTAAATACACTCCATGATACAGCTCAATGTAATGTGGCCTTATATTTTATAGTACAAATTCATAAAATTTACAGCATTCATTTTAAAAAAGAAGCCCTCCCCCCTTCCCCTCTTTACTTTGAAAAAGTAGTCTTCAAAAGAAGCCCATTCAAAGTTTGCCAAAAAAAAAAAGCCCAGGGCTTAAAAATTCAAGGTTTTACGGTATTGCTTTTAAAAGGCTTGTTTTAAATGTTTTAGATTTTGTGCAGTTCTTAAGATACCGTGGTAATGATTTTGAGAATGTTGGGCCAGCAACGAAGATATTGTCTGAAAGAGAAGGTGTGCGTGGAAGTGGATGGTGGAAGTGAGAAGACTGTCTAGTTGAATAGTTGTGGATTTGAAAGTTATTGTGAAATGTGTTGCCAATTGTACCTACGATTTAACATGTACCTGGATTTGCTGGGGGTCAGAACTACAATATTTTACGTGGAGTTCATCTTCTTTTAAACCTTACTTGATCTTTAACCTATCAAGATCTAGACTACTGTATTAGCCTTTCAATTAAATAGAATATAATGAATAATTTGAATTTTCATTTTCAAGGTTCGTTTTCATCATGGGCACATCTATTGCGCTATCTCAGAATGCTTTAAAACAAAAAGGCATGTCAACAAGTAGGTTATTTCAGAAAATTGTTCGTAGAACTGTTATTCTATTCGCGCTTGGTGTCTTCATGAATTCAGGAGGTAGGTGTACAATCTTTCGATGTAAAACCTTTCACAAATTGTGCCAGCTAAAACAAAATTCTGGTGTGTAATCTACTGGACAATGTCCAAATTTGAAATATTAGGTGTGAGTAATTTTATGTTTCTACAGTAGTTACCCTGTTCTAAATTAATTGATTCTTCCCAATTCTAATCCAATTTATGTTTTTAAATACTGGCATCTTTAATATTTTAATTACCCTGTATACATTATAGTTCATTTGTTGTTAACTTTCAATATAATTATCATTTAAATTGTGAATTATTTTGATGTGTACTTAATTTTGTTCTCTTCTCATAGACAATTTAAATGTTTAAATTGAATTTTGTTAGGTTTTTTTTTAAATTCAGATTTTGCACAGATTATGTCTTTCCTCTGATTTTTCAGGATTTCATCGTCTGGTATTTCTTTTTCTCAGTGGCTTAGATGAGTTTTTAATTCTAGGTACAACACCAAATTTGTATTTGTTTTTTCTTTTCATAAAAGGATATAATTCAGAGGAAATAGTGACACGTTATTATTGCTATTCTAAGTTCCCACAAATATGCAATTTTCCGATATGTTTTCACTGTACCAGGTAGGAATGATCTGAAGAATCTAAGGATACCTGGAGTTCTCCAACGATTCAGTGTGTCTTACTTTGTGGTTGCCATGTTGGAATTGATATGTAGTAGAAGTAGCCATGGACAGTATGATCTAATTACCGTAAGTATATAAGCTTCTTAAATGTTTTATTAATTTCGAAAAAACTTGTTTGATTATAAAGTCGTTCTGGCACGAGTTTGAGACAAAAAGCTGATTTCGCAACACGATTATTATAGCAGTGTCAATACAATTAGGTTAAACATTTGAATATCTACCCCCAAACATAGTTCAATTGCAACATCATGTTATTGCCAGAAATAACCCTTTAACAAAACACATTTCTTTTTTATCATGTGTATAATACTTCATTTGAAGGTTTGATAAAAGAATTTGGAATACATCATTATACCAAGTATTTATTTAGTATTGTAGTAGAGAGTGGAAGATGCTATCTGTCTGACGTACATTTGGACTGATTGTGGCTGCCAAAAGTATTTTTTTATGGCCTGGACTAACCTTGGCATTGTAGTTCTTTCAGCAAAGCTTTTTGACATGTCCATTGTACTGTACTATAAACAATTATCTTTTTTTTTTTTAATTTCTTAATTTTAATTTCCTTTATTTTCACAAAAATGTTCTTAAATTTTATTTTTTGTGTTTTAATTGTTGAAACAATCTTATGTAATTTTGATAATAATGTTTGTTTAACAGCCTCGTTGGTACACACCATTTCGTGATGTGATAGAATATTGGATAGAATGGCTTGTAATGGCTGGGTTGTTAGTAGGCTACTTCTGCCTGACGTTCTTTCTACCTGTCCCTGGTTGCCCCACGTAAGTAGAATATATTTTCAGAATTTGCTATTTTATGATGTTGATGATGGCAGCAGCGACAATTAATATGAGAATTCACTAAGAAGCATGATTCACCTCACCACATTTTAAACTTAAATCTTTTATAGCGGTTACTTAGGCCCAGGTGGATCAATTCAGCTGGAGCCAAATATCACGTTAACGAACTGCACTGGGGGTGCTGCTCGCTACATTGATGAGTGGTTGTTTGGTGTCAATCATATCTACCAACATCCAACCTGTAAGGTAAGCCATCTTTTACTTTACATAACATGTATTATTTTGAGGATATACACTCTAGATTGAACTTAAACACCTGCAAAATATGATATTTAAATTATTGTATTATAATTATGTAAGTTATCAGCTTTCCATTAAAAATTATAATGAACAAATACTTTCATCACCAATATACAGATGCATGAATAATATTTTTTATGTTCTTTGCATAATTTAATATATAATAGGCTTTGGGACCAAAAAAAAGGTGTCCCTTGATAGGGGTGTCCTCTAATAGGTGTTGGCCGTAGTGTTAAAAGATATAGTTTCCCTCATTTTGTGGCCGAAAAAGTGTCCCCTTAATAGGGGTGTCCCCTTACGAAGGTGTCCCAAAGGAGTTGTTCTACTGTATTTAGGCATTTTTGTAACAAAAAATCTGTAAATATTGAAAACTGAATTGTTTCTATGTTGATAATTTTTAAACAAGCCAGTGTTTTAATGGAATTTATTAAAGATTTGTTTAGACTTTTCCTGCTAATTTCAGGGTTATATGCAATGAATGCTGTAATGAAACATTTTTATATTATTATTACTGTGTGTTGATCTTTCCCTTTATGCTTGAATAGATAAATTGTTAAAATTTATTATTTTTTTTTACCTCTGATGAGGAGCTCTAGAAACACTGATTGATTAGTAGAAATTTTATATTGGCCAATATTCTCTACTGCCTCTATTATACCTCCCTCATCGGAGCTTTCAAGATTACAAGAATTTGTTTTCCTTCATAGGTAATCTACCACACAGGTGCTTTTGACCCAGAAGGTGTGCTAGGATCAATACCATCAATATTCATCACATTCCTTGGGTTGCAGGTAAGATGATGTATTCAAAATTCAAATCGGTTGACTTGCTTACTCTATGCGATCCTTGCCAGGAAATACCTATTGGTACTTCTGCGTGATTTTGCTCTGCCAGTTTCTTGTTTTGTTTTTTTTTTTGTTTTTTTTTCTCTTAAAAGTCATCCCCATACTATATGGGGATGATAATTTCCCCAGGTGTAGTATTTTAGTCATACAATCCCTTCACATTTATATTTGACATAGTTTTCCATCAAGTTGTACTATTGCTTAGAGTATAGTATAGCTTAGTGTTTACAATGCTTGTCTTCTAATCCATGAGTCCTGGGTTAAATTTCTGTGACTTTTGGACATTTTCTCACGACTAAAAACAACTCAATTCCCTAAGCCTCATAAAGTGACTTGGTTTTGTAAATCATCGTTCCATTGTGTAATTGGTGAGTTACAATACTTGCTGTTGAATGCAAGTGTAATTTTTTTAAATAATGCACTTTCTTTAGAAAGAGACATTTAAGCTGCTGGTCTCATGTACAACATGGCTATGTACATGTTAGAGAATGCAGTACACTTTTCTGAAAACACCACGTAATGGCTTTGCGGTGTACTGTCCATTTCACCACAAGTGGTGGCGCTTCTACGTGTCTTCCCTTGCAACTCCAGCAGCTGAGTCCAAGTCTCTGGGCTAAAAAACTAGGACCAACTAATACCTTTAGATTCAGTGTAAGAATATAATGTTTTAAATAGTAAAAATAAAATTACATCTTTATAAAATGAAAGAAAAAACTTGGATTGCAGCTCCTGTCTCTTATACACATCTAGATGTGTATAAGAGACAGGGATAGAATGGCTTGTAATGGCTGGGTTTTTCTATTACTTTTAATTGATTTATATATTTAGGTATATTTATTGCAAAAAAGAATCGCACAAACTCAACAGTCTATTGCAGCATAAGCTGAATTGAGAGACTGAAAAATTATTACAAATATTGGCCATTAAAAATTTACGAATCATTATTAAAATAGAGCAATATTAAATATTAAAATTTACATTAATACCTTGAAAATTACAAAGACGTATTACATATTAAAAATTCAAGAGAAATTAAACAATTGAGTCTCTAAAATTATATGTACAATTTCATCATAAAAAAAAAAATAAATAAATAAAAAAAAAAAAAAACGCAATCAATCAATCTACAGATTTTATGTGCTTATTTTGCATACCTTGACGCAGGGTTCCCGGAACGCCGCCCTCAGCGGCGAGTGCGAAGCACAACTCAGGCTCAAAAGTGGAACGTGAATTTGGATATGGTTTTGTAGTCAGATTTGCGAGAAAAACTTCAGCTACCCGTATTTATCGACTGAGACGTCAGTGGAAGCTGTGTAATTTGTATGGCAAGGAGATTGAGCAACCCTTCATTCATATTAAGGGAATTTACGCCCAGAAACTTTGTAGTTATTAATATTTTGGTTATGATAGAAAATATTCATTTTTTGGTGACGTCACACTCGCGTTAGTTAGCATGCATACGTCATAAGGTAGATACGTCACCTTTTCCTAGTAAGGCAAACTTTCCCGGCGTGCTTTTTTCACGGATAAACAAACACCACTGCTTTGCACATGGATGCCTTGCCCAAGCCAGGGCTACAAGAACTGCATTGTTAGATGCATTGTATAATACTTAAATAAGGTACCTCTGCAAATGAATTATTCTTAGTTATTATTTTTTTCTTTTTTTAATTTATTTCTTCCGAAAGTTTCTCAAAGCATCATTTGCATCCCCTCTTGGAAAGAGGGATTCGAAAATCTCCATATCTTCGCTAATTAAATTAATCACCGTAATTTAGCTTACACTTATGAATTTAGGGAGCACTTAAAATGTGAAATAATCATTTCACTACCCGACAAACTTCGAAATTTATTCATTCATTAGGCCTACATAATAGTTTCATATTGCTGTACTATATACTCCAACATTACTGGCGCATGGTAACAACCAACTGACTGCAAACCATTTCCGGTCACACATTACTCTCCATAACACAGCACCCCCTAGTTCCGTCACCTCTGGGTCAAATTCTATATTTTTAGTATGTGGTGTAATTTTATTTATGTTCAGTGCAAGAAGCTTAAATTTTATTTTTAATGGTGTAAGTATTTATATTATTTTTATCTTTTATATTGTATTTATTGGATTTATATTGTTACAGTTATTATTACTATTGTTATCATTACTACTCCATGCTGGTACTACTATGTCTGTTGTTGCTTCTACTGCTACTGCTACTGCTGCTGCTACAGGTTTGATTGTAATGTAAAGTTAAATCGATACTGTAGGAGTAAAACAATGAGGACCGACTCATTAAAGCTGAGTATCTGGGTGTTGTTCAAGCCAAGCTTACGACGTACCCCGAAAACACACCTTGGGTCCACACGCTTCACGAGCCTGTTCTTGCAGGGAACATCACATCATATGTTTATGCAAATTTGAAAGGTTACAATTCTACTACTGATGTAAATGCTTTTTGCTTGCCTAAGCAATTGTATATTATATAATGTAATATATCAATATTAATGATAATATATACTAATGATATATAAACTTGTCATTTTGTTCCTGTTTTAGGGATGTATTGCCACTATTCTCTGTAAGGGAACTAAAAATGATGGCTGGATTCCCATCAACAAGAACTTGTGGTAGGTAAATTAAGTTGCTATGAGTAAAAACCTAGATAATAGGGAGATTTTGCAACCTTGCGAAACAGTCACTAATATGTCCTTTTCATTATCGTCATCCGTGCCTCAATCATTAGTGACAATATGTTGTACGAGCTGAATATGATCCTTGCTTCTTGCAAAAGGCATGAATTGCCTATCGTTGTGACAGTGCTGTAGATTAAGGGTTGTCTAAAAATTTGATGACATAATCCTTATCATTTTTTGTAAGCTTGCAAAAACTCTCTAATAACGAAATCAGGAACATAAACATTCATTTAGATTAGAAACAATTACAGAACTTGTTTATGAATGAATTATTTTAAAGGAATCAAATATCTTTTTTTAAACTTCATTATTTTTTTTTCAAACAATTTAATTTTTTTTTTTTCAAACAGGTCCATATCATTTGTGCTTGCTCTGTCCAGTATGGCATTCCTTCTTCTCATCTTTTGTTACTGGACAATTGATGTTGTCCACTGGTGGTCAGGTGCTCCATTCTTTTATGCAGGTAAAAAGAAAAATCTACTCTTTCATATGAAGAATGACCTCAAGTACATGTTAAACTCTGTCACATTATCCAATGCTTTGATGTTCCAAAACCCTAAGCTGTGTATCGGTATTCAACAAGATGCCAGCCATACATTCAGCCAGTCAAAATATGCCTAATCATAATTTACAATGGGATCCCCCCCCCCACAATTTAACAATAATATGTATACTAAGCGTGAAGGTGGTGCTTTCCTACAATTGCCGTCTTGTGGAGTACTGTAGTACACAACTCAACATTGCTTCGTCACCTAGTTAGCACTGTTAGTATTGTTGTAATACCTCTATGGTAAAAATGCACTTGGGCACAACAATAAATGATTTATAATTACAATCCCCTCAGACCACCACCGACAATCGTCACATCTCAAGTGCTCACAGAGAATTGAGGTAGATTTCAAGCTGATGATCCAGTGGTGGCACCAGTATTTGCCCGATGGGGGGTCTGAAGTCCCCGAATGGTGGGCCCATGTCCCCGATGAAAAAGGCGGGCATGATCAGGCATCACTCAAAATCTCTTGAAAGTGTTCCGGGGGGATGAAGCCCCTGAAAAATATGACAATTTAAAGGCATATTTAATCGGTTTTAGGGTCTACTAATATGTAAAAGATACATACATTTTGTTTCTCCCCAACGAATTGTGGTTTCGTCGCCCCCTCCCCCCGCTGGTACCACCCTAGTGATGGTTGTACGACACAGTACATGCCAAACTTAAGTCATCAACTTCCTGTGAAAAAAATAAAAACAATAAATTTTTTTGCTGATTTAATACAAAAAGTTTAAATTGATTATTCACTAATAAGGGTCATGAAATGGAAATCATTCTTGAGCTACCACATGCATCTATTAATAATTGGTAAAAAGATTTTTTTTTCTCATAATTTGAATTCTCAATGTAGATTTTGCTCTATACAAATACTATATTTAAATGGGTAATTCATACTATTAAAAACCATTAATACATGTATGTTCTTTGTATAATCAACAGGAATGAACTCAATTTTCCTGTACATTGGTCATGAAGTTTTTTCCGGCTACTTCCCATTTTCTTGGAAACCCTTTGTTGGGAATCACGCTGAGTACCTTGCAATGAGTCTGATTGGAGCATCAATCTGGGTGTTAATTGCATTCTACCTCTTTAAGGTTAACTTCTTCCTGAAGATCTAGGCCTAAATCTGTAAATTGTTTTTTATAAATAAAATATACCACCTATTATTTGTCACTGGCGCTTAAAGATTAAAAGTTAGTGGTTAAAGAGATAAGTTTTAAGGAGGGTCATTGAATGCATCAGTACCGGAAGTTGATTGAAGTTTAGGTGAAAGGGAGTTCCATAATTTCGGACTGACAAAAAAAAATAATGTTGGCCAGTATGGTCATTTAGCATTCTAGGAACAGATAACCTGATTAAGTTTGACTGTCTTCTAGAGTGTACTGTTGTGAGATGGATGAATGAATGATAAATTTAATATAAAAATACTAGCATTATAAAATATAAAAAGGAAAATGAGAGTAGAACTATTTTTAATATTAAAGCATTTTAGAGTGGTTACGACTGAGACGTGGATCAGGGGGAACTGATCCTACTCCTGTCGGGCAAACATGGACCCTCTTCGCCCAAAGCTGTGATGAGGTTGTCAAACTAAAAATGTTAATTTACCAATCAAAAGCTATTGTGATTGCCAATTCCTAAAAATATTGTGGTTTATAAGCACAAATATGGGCAATCCTAAACCATAAAAATCTATTTATAATAATCGTAACTCTCACTTTTAAATGTACTGTATACATAGTTTTGTTGATAATACAGTATATTTAATTTTTTTTATTTTTATAAAAAATAATAATAATAATAATAATTAAAATAATAATAATAATAATAATAACAATAATAATAATAATAATAATAATAATATTATTATTATTATTATTATTATTATTATTATTATTATTATTATTATTAAATAGTAATAATAATAATAATAATAATAAAAACTTGAAATTACCTACTACACCCTATAGTGTATTCAAGGAAAATTGTGTTTTAAGTGCAAATTTAGATATTTATTTTGTATAATTTAAAAAATCTTTTGGTAAAGAATAAGATAAAATTTAGATTCCATAAACATGTTGGACATTAAAACGATTGTTAAATGACAAAATATTTTTTTTATGGAAATTTGTTTCTGTAAAATATTTCCTATAGTTTAAATAACTTAAAAGAACAATCTCTCTCTTTAGAAAAATAATCGTGTTCCCTTTTATATATATTGATGTGCACTGGACTTCTTTCATATAATTTTTAAAAGGGTGAATTATTATTTGTTAGATAATTCGCTTGGTATAATTATTAGGAAAAAGTTTCCAAGAAGTTAAACCGAGTAACTGTAAGTAAATGTATTGTCTGCTTGTACAATACTGTGTACGGATGGGTTAAGTTTTTAAAAATGTATTTTCAGTAATATTAAAAGGTTGCTCATTGTGAGTGCTTGCTTCTTTTTGAATTTTAAAGTTACTAAATTAATTTAGTTAAACACATATCATCAATGTTTTTTTAACAATTTAAAATATACCTGTTAACACCTATTTAGATGTTTGCCACTTAATTAGCGTATTAGCCTCCCCAAATGAGCGAAGCTCCGGGAGGGCTATTGTTTTTGCCTATGTTCCTACTCATGTTGTCGTTGGCATCGTTGTTGTTGTCATTGTCATCGCTGTCGTTGTTGGTCATTTGTTTGTTACCACGATAACTAAAGTTTGGAAAGTCTGATTGGTTTAAAACTTGCCAATATGCAAGATGGTACTGTAATAAGATGATGGAGCCTATTGTTTTTGGTACGTATATGAATATGCTATTTGCTCATTTGCATAATTAATATTTCAATAATTAGGTAGTTTAGGCTAGTTACCGCGATAACTAAAGTTTGGTAAGTTAGATTGGTTTAAAACTTGGAAAAATGGAAGGCTGTAATAAGAAGACGGAGCCTATTGTTTTTTTGGTACGTGTGTGAATACGCTAATTGTTCATTTGCATAATTACTATTTCACTAATCAGGTAATTTAGGATAGTTACCATGATAACTAAAGTTTGGTAAGTCTGATTGGTTTCAAACTTGAAAGAATGCAAGATGGTAATAAAAAGATGCAAGTCTTGTTTTTGGAGTGTGTAAATATGCTACTTGCTCATTTGCATAATTAGTATTTCACTAATCAGGAAATTTATGCTAAATGCCATCATGATTTACCCCCCCCCCTTCCACCCAAAAAAAAAAGTAAGTGAAATTGTAGTATTTGTTCATGATGTTGTCATTGTTGCTGTTGTAGTAAATTGTTTGCTACCACAGTAGCTAAAGTTTGGTAAGTCGGATTGGTTTCAAATTCCTACTGATCAATTTTCAGAGAAAAATCACTGTGGGGAGGCTATGCTATTTTTGTGCAGCATAAGAGCATTTCTACTTATACTTCTCATGGTGTTAAATTAGTGGTTACATGTAAAAAAAAACATGCACATTGCACCACTTTTCTACTAAAAGTTTTGTTTCAGTTGAAAAGCACACCACTGTAAGAGTGGCAAGAAAATATAACTGTCAGGGTAATACACATTCACCCAACAAATGACACACAGGAAGTGTTGTATATTGAGTGCTTTTTGTTCTGATTTGTGCTGTGGAATAACATTTTTATATGTTGACATCCAATTTTAATTATTGCATTGCATATATTAACATTATTTGTAGACCTGTATTGTAATGATATATTATCTTGTAAAGCCACACGATGTTAAGCCTTAAAATTCTTAGAACATTTGTAGAAGTTCAGAAAAAAAACTGATAAATTATATTTGCATTGTTAATTGTACATAAGCCTATATAATTACATTATGCCAATAATGCAACACAGTACAGTAATTACATATTTATACTTGCAATACAACAAATTTTACTGTGAATATTTTAGATAAAAAACCAATGGCAGAATGTTGTACTTCTATATATAAAAAAAATGTTGAATAAATCTGCTCATGGAAAAATGTGCTTTGTGAATTCTGAATGTCTACCAGAGCTCGTCACTTGTTAATTGAACAAACAACACAAAAACGACAGATACTAATACACTATTCATTTTAGGGGAAATGTTAGGACAATTTCTGGGAAATGAACCGTGTAACTGTTAATGAACTTTCCAGCTACTAATAAAATAATCCCACTCGCATGCAATGGTTATTTGAGGAGCGGACGCTTGCCGGCGGGTTTGAACCAGGGTCTTAAGGACAAGAAGCAATAACCTCGGGAACAGTCATCTGGATTTTCAATTTTAATTGAAAGGTACTAGAATTAGTAATGTGATAAGATAACTATAAATTACATACATTTAAAAGTAATGTACCGTACTGTGTAACAAAAAAGAAAAAATGTTATACAGTTTTGTCTGGTTTCCAATACATTGCTACATGCTCTCACCGTCACCGACAGCTTTTGACGGCACTGATTGGTGGTCGGTCGAATCGGGGAGCCTTCCCGATTGCTTCGGTAACAATTGCAGTTTCAACTGCAATTGTTAAAAAAAACAAAAAAAAAACGCTAATTGTTAAAAAATTGTTTTAAAAAACGTAACGAAAAGTTCAGCAATTTTATGTAAACCATGCGTTATCATCAGAATAGAATAGTTGTAGGTGTATACCTCGTTTGCTATATTCCATTTGAAGGATTTATGATCACTAATGTTGTTTTACTTCTCTTTTGAATTAACAGTTTAGTAGAATTTCACATTAGAAGAAAATTTGAAAAAAAAGTCCGTTGATTTTTTTGTTAGTGTTTAGAGAGAAAGCCTTGTAACAATCAAAAGATATGATTCACTGGAATGGATCATGTATTAAAAATAGGGGCCGCTTTGTTCAAATTTATCTAAGGAAGGAGTGAAGGGGCAATATAATATGTAATATAGAGTAATATAATTGAGTGGTACCAACATTTGTTCTCCCCAATCTCTTAATCAAACCAGGGAACAGTTAAATTACAATATAAATAAATTAAATTTAATAAAAACGTAATTTAACTGTTCACTGATCGAACAAACTTATTCTGTCTCTTATACACATCTAGATGTGTATAAGAGACAGTTCCTCCTGAGATCATATATATTGGTATATTTGGTATGACCTGTCTCTTATACACATCTAGATGTGTATAAGAGACAGCCTATATATATATTCTTAAGAAATTTATATTATTGATTTTTTCCACTTAAAACAATTGTAGAATGGGGTAGTGGGTTCTCGGTTATTTTTAATGGTGGGAAAATTTCATATTGAGTGTTTGTATGCTCACTTTGGAAAAAAAACAAAAACAAAACCCTAACGACTAATTGATCGTATTCGTTGCAGAAATGATGCACTGTTAATATGATAGCCATATAAGACGGCCTTGTCTTGAATTTCTGTTCTACCGAAACTAAACGGTAAATAATGCAGGCTTTGGAATGAAAGAGGAAAATCTTCAGTTGATGTTATTCATGGTTTAAAGTACCGTTCGATATTCCTGATATTGTCGACGCATAGAGTACATACATCGTTGCAAAAATGATGCTTTGTCATTACGATAGCCAAATAAGACGGTCTTGCCTCGAATTGTTGTGCTACCGAAAATAAACGGTAAATAATTCAGTCTTTTGGAATGGAAGTGGAAGTTCTTTAGTTGATGTATTCATGGTTTAAAATACCATCCGTTCTTGATAAATTGTTGGCGCGCGCATGGTATACGTTCTTAACTTACCGTACTCGCGCGAATAAGCGCCCCTCTCGAATAACCGCCCCTCCTAACGTGAAAATTTCTTTAAGCGCCCCGTTTGAATAATATCATAAGCAAGTCAATAATCTAATCAATCCTGGGACTGTGGTTGTTGGCATGATTTGAGCTGCAGAGTGGAAATGCATTCTTCTTAGGTCAATATCAAAATGAGGATATTTCTCTTGGACTGATGAGAGCTCCGATCCCTGGACAGACAGTATATTTCCAACTTTACTCTTTTTACATATTTGTCTATGCCTAGTCCTACTCCTCTTTTTCTTTTCCCGACCTTTAGCACATTCTCTGAGTTTTCAAGAAAAAATACAATGATCCTGCCATCCTGCTAATCTCAATCGGCCGATGGCCAACAAGCTAACCACTACCCACCATTACTAATTGCATCTGCTATTTTGCTGTTATGTAAATATCCACGCATTCTTGTCATGAGCCATGTTCTCTGGAGGATTATCTTTTCCGCCTAACCACCATTCGTAATGTCCTTATATAATCTTTTTTCATTCAAAAAGTGCCTCTTGAATTTAATAATTTCCCATAAGAACCCCTCGAGTTTCAACTAAGCCTATTTCCAAAAGCGCCCCCTCAATTTTCACTCTGTTTTCATAAGCGCCCCGTTTAAATAAGCGCCCTGTTTGAATTAACGCCCATCTGAAAGTGCAAACAATATTTTAAGCGCCCGGGCACTTGTTCGCGCGAGTACGGGTTACACATTTTTGAAGTGGGTTAGGTCTCGTTCTCTGATGGTGATGGTCTCTCTGTAGCCTAAGAAGAGTGCGAATTGTTGATTTGTTTTGGGTGGCTTGTGTTGAAAGTGCGCGTGTTGTGATATCTGTAGTAGGTAAACTGCTGTGCTTAATCGTATCCTATATCTTTATGGTGATGTTTATGTCTAAAACATACGGTTGCTACTGATGTCACGTAGTAAAACTCTTTGTTCCTATTACAGTTATGCCTATACAAGTAGTGCTTGTCAGCAAATATTTAGTGGGCAATGGAGCAGATAACATCATTATATAGTAAATGAAACAGTGATCACGAAAGCTGATGGTTGTAGAAATGTCTGTGTAAAGTTGCAATTGTATTTGGCTTAACTGCGAAGAGAATTATTTATCTATGTTGTCGAGAGTTTGTAGTGATTTGGAGTAGGCGTTGTCAACCATTTAGGCCTATCAGTATTGAGCACCGGTTATCTTTACAGATAGCATTAGAAGAGCAAAGTACTAGAGGAAAATTCAATCTAGTTTTAGATACAGCGACTACGCATAATATATGAATTACACAGGCATATTAACAGTAAACCATGCGGTTGTTGATCAAGAGGTGGCTGTTTATCCTGATGTTTATAACTCCAGGTAAGACTTTACCCAGTCAATTATTATTTTGATCATATGCCGGCCTTTAATGTTAGGCTATATTCCTCCTGAGATCATATATATAGGTATATTTGGTATGACAATGGGCGAATTTCTTTGTATTTCCGGTAGATAGGTAAAGATGTTTAACAAGTCGTTTATATGTAAAAGTTATTGAAATGGAAATGTCATAACATATTAGCAAGTCGTTATTGAATATTAAATTAGATTAGGGATCAGGTGGAGAACCACTTCATATTGCATTTTATTTGTTATTTTATTTATTTTTTTCCAAACTAGTATACCGTATCGGAAAGATTGTTTTAGGTCTGTATTGGTTATACAGTATAATATTCGCGCCATCACGTATAAATGTTTTGTTCTAATAATACACAGGCCCGGGGATGCTGATTGAACCATCGACAGCAATATCAGACGAGAAGGATGTCCTGGGCATTCACCAAATTACATTTGATACCGCTCACGTTAGTATGATATCGAATTTGCAATATGATGCAGAGGTTTGGGCCCAGACAAGCGAGTGCTTTGAGGTATGCATATTGTTACAGAATGTTAGCGTTAGAGGTACTAAAGTTGAATGCACATGGCTATTAGGCTTGAATATTTAAAATTCTATTAGAAAAAAGAACATTCAATACTTTTGATTTTTTTCACATCATCGTATATAATTTAATTTGGCCTTATTTTACTGATGTAAGACTATTTTTTATTTAATGCAATGTAATGGTTACTGTATGCTTATTGCATAAGAGGAAATGAAACGATGAATGAGACATACAAACAGATCAGATAAGTACATGGCATCAACCCATAAAACAACAAACGGCCACATAATGCTAACAAATAAAATTTAAACAGAAAAATAGAGAAAATCCAATCAGAATGACAAAATAAACTAAATATCCATTGGAAACAATTTCAATATCTATAGGCTATCTTGATTTACACTGTATGGGTAGGCCTACTATTTATTTACAACCGTACGCCCATTGTGTAATAGAGTGTACCTCACGGTCAATTGAATCTGTTCAACCATGAAACCTCCCGACCTAATTGGTATGACACTCGCCTTGACAGTGAGAGGTCGCAGGTTCGATCCCGTCAGGCATTTTATTACACAATGTAGGAAATTTTTTATTATTATATATAGGACATATTTGAATTTTCATTTCAGTGCGAATTTCTGTTTATTGTGGATTTACCTGCATCATTCTCGATCGATTTCTATGCTGATACAAGATATCCTATGCTACTTCAAATTAGAAGCAGTAGTACCGATTTTTCAAATACAACTAACAGGTACACTATATATACTTTGTTTTTAGGCCGATATTTGACTTGCATAAGTGTTAATTCTCTTCTAAAAGCGAAACAACACGATAAATTGCAATAATGTGAAAGTTCACCTGAGGTAGTATTATTCTGTTCGTGCCGGACATGAGTCTCTTACAATTATATTTTGGTGTAATTGTAAATTCTCTAATTTCAGTTTACTAAAGTACCATTTTGGAGAAAATGGGGGCTATAACGTATCGGTAGAGAACGTTGAGAACCAGTTAACATTGACTGTTGATGTTATAAACAAACCAGAATTTAGTGCAACACGTAAGTACTTAATATAATATATCGACCGTGCCACAACGAACTGCTTGGGGACATTACTGGCATGAATGTTCATTTGGTTCATTTTTGTTCAGACTCATCAATTGGATTATAGACGGTGCCTGATAATCAATAAGACAATGTGTGATTTTTTAAATGCAAGCGTATATATGCTCAATTTCCTCAGTCTAACAAAACTTTTTAATTTTGTCAAGCAAAACATTTGATCGTGAAATGCCCGGATTAACCATTTTTACGACGAATCCTCTTGCAAATTTTCTTTATTGTTTTTTTTTTTTTTTTTTTTTTTTTTTTTTTTTTTTAATAATGAAGTGAGTTTTTATTTCTAATCTTATTTTTGTGACTTTCTTTGACATCCTGGTTGATGGTTTCCCCCATCCCTTTCACAGTGGCCCATTGAATTTATTATCAATAATAACAGTATTATTATTTGAAGTGTTAAATATGCCATCAATAATATCGTTATTAATGATCATATATCACAATAATGTCTACAGTTTCCATTAGACGATGTTATATTAGTAGGCATATTTATTCAGATGACTAATTTGTTGTTTTTGTTTTCAGCCATTTTTGTGGCGATTGGAATATATGCTGGTCTCGCATGTCTGTATATTTTACTAAAGCAGGCCATTAGGTAAGTTTCAATATTAATAATACATATGCAAAATTTATTTAAAAAATGATGTAATCCAAACATTCAAGCATTTTACAAAACAATTAAATGCATTTGTTTAGGTAAACCAATTAATTAATCAATCAATCAATCAATAAATTAGTCAGTCAATTAATCAGTCACTCAGTCAATCATAATCAGTCGTAGAAAAGCCTCTGAAAATCATAAATATACTGAGTATATATATAGTCCTATAACTTGTATGCGTTTCATTGATTATAATGGAGACAAAGTAATATAATAATTGTGTTTCAGGCGCGAGTGGATAAGCAAGATATGCTGTTGCTGTGCGTCATATTCTCTGAACAACAATGTAAGTTTTGTCCGAATGTTTGCATGGCGAAGTAATTTTATTTTAAATATTTGTAGTACAGCACGCAGATAGGTCTGAAAAGAACTGTTGTTCTACGTTTCTACTTTTCTATTGAGTTGCTTCAATCGTCATCAGGAGAATATTATACCAATAATAATACATACATGTACAGCAACTAGTTTCTAACGCTAGTTTTCATCTTATATTTATGTGATTAACTTGCTCTTGATATCTAGATTTTTACTAACATCAAATTTTGATAACCATGTTTTAAGCATTACCTATGGTTAACCCTTATTGTCATTTTATCTTTGCCAATGCTCACATTGAAAGAAATGCTAATATTTTTGGTTATAGGCGTCTCTTTCCTTACAGGACCTTGGATCGACATCAGAAGGGCCATCTGATACACAAAGTATCAATAAAGAGAAAAAGACAAATTCAAAGAAAAGATTGAAATCGTTGGATACATTTAGAGGGTAAGGGCAAACATGAAATTTTATCTGACACTTGGATCGGACCCCTCTTTCCGGCTTGTTAGACCCCTTATTGGCACATTTTCAGTTGTCTGAAACTATTTTTGATACGCATATTGAATTAAATTCTGAATCTAAATCTCAAGAAAAGTCATGATTCCATTCTTTATTTGTGTTTAATAGCAGACAAAATGACTTGTTTTTTCTTGATATAGATTTTCGTTAGTGGTAATGATCTTTGTTAATTATGGAGGTGGACGTTACTGGTATTTTGAGCACAGTATATGGAATGGTTAGTAAAGTACCGTACTTCAGTCTAAAATGTAAATCATTTCTTTCAACATTCTCTTGTATTATAAATTTGTACGCACTAGCAGTGAAATTACACTGTTACCTGGCACAAGCAACATCTTTTCTCTAACTATTCTATAAATTCAACATTATTGACAAATAATAATATTAGTAATAATAATAATAATAATAATAATAATAATAATAATAATAATAATAATAATAATAATAATAACAATATGTGTATAAAATAATTAAAATACTAAAAAGATACAAAAGTTATTTGTAATATATTTTTATTAATTTCATTTTTTCAAGGTTTAACAGTAGCCGATCTTGTTTTTCCTTGGTAAGTATTAACTATAGCGTATCTTTATCGTTCATCTGGAATTTCTGAATTTACTTATTGGATCATTCCGTAACTATAGTTGTTTTGTTTTTCCCAAAAAAGGTTTATATTCATTATGGGCACTTCAATAATTCTATCCCAGCATTCTCTGCGATCGAAAGGTGTAACCAGATGGGAACTGTTCAAGAAGATTCTCCGACGTACTGTCATTTTATTCCTGTTGGGTTTATTTTTAAACACTGCTGGAGGTATGTGGACCGTAATTTACATATTATGATCCAAATATATATTTGTTTGTAAGCGACAGATTGGTATATCATGGAAAACAGTATTCGACCAATCACTTTACATTATCTGTTATATTTATATCAGGTGACATATTCGGCTGAAATTACACTCTACGTTTGTTGGTTAACATTTTTGCCTCTCTCTCTAAATTACATCCAATTCTATTTCGTACCTTCTCAAAGACCTGCGCTCAGCTTTTTGCCGTTCAAATCTTCTCATCTCTACGTCCTGCCCGCCCTATGGAAGTGATGTGGCTATTAATTATTCTCATTATTCCTCCGGGGTGTAATGCCAGTATCTCAACCAAGATGTATATTAGTGTTTAGGTATTCTCAGCTTTGGGACACGCCTGCCTCCATTGCCCTTTTCCCAGTTTCTTAAACTATGTTGAATTCGGTGTGTCTGTCAGTGAAATTGAATATTAACTAAAAATTACATCTAATAGCGTAGAGTATTCATACCTCTATGAAGAGATAATCTTAACACACATATTTTAAAACTATTTTTTAGGTCATAATGATTTACAATACATAAGGATCCCAGGAGTTCTACAGCGTTTCAGTATATCATATTTTTTCGTTGCAACATTGGAACTATTTTTCGGAAAAACTCCAAAAGTAAAAGGCATCGTTTTACAAGTACGTACGGGTACAGTATTCAGCCTATATATTGCCTAAGCACCTGAGTTAACAGTGAAAATGGTACAGGTATATGCTTTACAGAAAATTATGACAAAAATTTTATTTTGTACGAGTTGTGTAAGTCTGCTACTGGAAACACGGCCTATAATCTCAAATCTAAGTTTATTGCATGCCAAAAGTCACATGACGTATGTATAATTTACTACTGATGATGATGGTCTTGATGGCGGTGGTGGTGGTGATCGATGATAGGATGGAATATGTCCATGTTCAAGCCAATCTTCAAGCCGAAAGATGTTAAAAAACTTGAGAAATGTGATTTTGGTGACAAGTTGAAAAGAAACTGGAAAGGTCGATTGTAGAATTAATGGGAAGGGTTGTCACGAAACGGAATTGTGTCAGAAACATAAAATAGTCAAAATAATTACTATTATGACATTCTGTATATGATGGTGACTATTTGTTTTCCTGTAGAACCGTTGGTATGGTTATGTCTTTGATGTGTTTGACTATTGGGTTGAGTGGCTGGTTATCATGGCACTGGTTGTAACGCATACGTGTCTCACCTTCCTGCTACCTGTTCCTGGATGTCCTACGTAAGTTATATTAATATCCTCATTTTCTGTATTATATTCATTACAATATATGAGCACCCATATTATTATTATTAATAAAGTTAAATGTAAAGGTAGTCCCGTATTCATTACTGAAAGTAGGCAAATGTGATGTGACATCGTAGTATTAGGGATATTATCATTTTAATCATTATAATAATTATAGATATTATAATGTACTAATAATATATTATTTTATTATTTTTACCCCAGGGCTTATTTAGGACCGGGAGGAACTATGATTTATGGAATAAACAACACTGTTAGTATGTGCACAGGTGGCGCTGCAGGATATATTGATAAATGGTTCTTTGGAGAAGATCACATCTATCAGTACCCAACGTGTCAAGTAATATCGCATTTTAGTTACATATTTTTAAATAATAACTCAATGGTGGCGCCAGGCTCATGCCCGCCTGGGGTACAATGTCTCCGTTGGGGGAAGTAGATGTCCCCGACGTAAAGGTCTATGTATACCCATAGAGAAAGAAAATAATAATAATATAATTTTCTATCCCTATGGTATACCCGTCTTATTATCCTCCCCAAAGGAGCGAAGCTACAGGGCCGGAGGCATTATTTTTTACCCATGTTCTTTTTCATATTGCTGTTGTTGTTGGGTAAATTGTTTTTTAACCACGATTGCTAAAGTTTGGTTTGGTAAAATCATGGAGGTATTATTGTACGATGGTAATAAAAATAGGGAGCCTATTGTTTTTGGCACGTGTATGAATATGCTAATTGCTCATTTGCATAATTAATATTTTACTATTATCAGGAAATTAAGGCTAGTACATGATAACTAAAGTTCGGTAAATCTGATTAATTTAAACCATTACACAATGCAATATGGTAATATAGCGACGTACCGTAGTCTATTTTGTACCTGTAGGAATATGCTATTTGCTCATTTTCATAAAAAATATTTCAATAATCAGGAACTTTTTGCTAGTTACTATCATAATTCCCATAAAACCTTGTGATTTAGTTTAAATTGTAATATTTCTTCATGTTGTTTTCGTTGGTGTGGTAAATTTCTTGTTACCATGATTTACCGTGCTCGAATAAGCGCCGCGGCGCAACATTTTTGGAGGCTGCAGTTCGGCGCTTATAAATAGATATTGCCGTGGCGCTTTCCATGCCCGTTCCAATGTTGTTACCTATTTCACGTATTCTCGTAGTCTACTTCTGTATGGCCTATCATAGGTCTTCGTAAAGACACGTTTATAAGGAAATGCTTGTGTCTTCATTGTTTTATTTCTTAATTTTAACACTGTATACATTATATGTAAAACCCTGTTTCATTACACACAGGGTAATATTATATACTCTCGATTAAGCGCCGCTACGCTTAAAGAAAAAAATCACGTTTGGTGCGGCGCTTATTCGAGCATAGGTAAGTGTAAAAGGAACATTTTCAGTTTAATTCTGGTTGTGGCCAGTACTTGACTAGAAATGCTCCTTTTAAACTAAATCATGGGAACAAAAAATTTACCAACGACAACAACATGAGATAATATTACAATTTAAACAAAATTAACATCCCAGAACTCCTTAGAGGTGGTCCAGGGGGCGAATCATCCTGAAATATAGTGTTTCGAAAGGCTCTTTTTTATTCGATTTTTGAGTTTCAGACTTTCAGACTTTCATAGATTTGTTATTCCCCGACGAATTGTGCTTTTTTACGTCGACGACGGAGAGGAGGGCGGGGAGCTGGTCCCCGGCCCCTCATTAGCATTCTCTGAAATAATTTCAATTAGTTTATTTATACAATTGGAATGTTTCTCAGCACGCAGAAGCGAATCAGAAGTCGTTAGTCTTTACGTCACTGTAGTGGCCTATGTACAGTATTCCCGACTTATTTTATTTCATTTATATCGAAATGAAAACACTACAGCCACGTGATATTTACACAATTTAATTAGCGTGACAATATCAACATCGAAGAATAACACTCGTAAAATTTAAACTTATTAAAGCATAGCAGACCAATAAAAGGATAATTATACAGACGTTTTCGGCTAAAGGCAGACTTACAGAATACTATGACGTAATCGGACGACTCTGCAACATACTTAATATATAAGCCTATGTGTATAATACTGTTGCGTTTATATATACTATATTTACACTGTAGGCCTGCTGTAAATAAATATATAGGCCTGTAATATGATATATACAATAATACAGTATAATGTAATAATAATAAAAATAATAATAATAATAATAATAATAATAATAATAATAATAATAATAATAATATTAATAATAATAATAATAATAAAAATAATAATAATAATAATAATAATAATAATAATATTAATAATAATAATAATAAATAATAATAATAATAATAATAATAATAATAGTAATAATAATATTAATAATAATAATAATAATAATAATAATAATAATAATAATAATAATAATAATAATGTCGTTCTTATAAAGCGGTTAATGCCTTTACAAAGCCTCTAAGCGCTTCACATTACTACCACCAACACATTGAACACCAAATTAAATTATTAAATTAAATTATATTATTATTCCATAATATTGCGGCAGTTGTGTTGGAACCTACCAGTATACCCACTTGTACTCCTTGGTGGAGAGGGGCAACCGTAGATAAAGTGCCTTGCCCAAGGACACAAGCGATTTGCACAGCGAGTGTTTCGAAATACAAAATATATACAAATAACATTGTTGTTGTGTTTATTTGAATATTGAATAGTCAGTCAGTTCACATTATTGGTTTACTATGATAAACGTGTTGATTTAATCATTTAACTGGTTTGTGTATTTAATTGTGATAGGTTATCTATGGCACAGGTGCCTATGATCCGGAGGGAATGCTGGGATCAATCAATTCGATCTTTATGACGTTTCTGGGACTGCAGGTAAATGATCTTGGATTGTGATAGGCCTACAGATACCAGATTTTTAATCAACATAGAATGCGTAAACTATCCTATTATCTTATCAAACAGATACATTGGCAATGATATGTTAATTTTTATGCAATATTAATATTTATAGTATGTAATACTAATGCCATTAACATTTATAATATGTATATGATCTTCTTGATTTTGATCAACCTCATGTCGTATTTCATACACATAAAAATGAAATTGCATTAAAGCTTATGGTATTTATAGTCAAGAGAAAAATAAAGCAAAACAAATAAAAAAAATTCACACGTCTAATTATTGCTTTTAGGCTGGGAAGATTGTCCTACTTTACCCTGGAGATCGCCAGCGGATAATACGATTAGTTATCTGGGGCATCATTACGGTACGTAAGCCTCACTTCAAAAGCATAGGCCTATATCAAACCTTCGTAGGATTAGACAATTTATGATAATTTAATAACGTGTCCTGCAATAGGCATACTTATGTGTAATGCATTATTAAAATATAAAATGTCGTTACTTGTATTTAAAGGGTGTAATTGGAACCATATTGTGCAAAGCATCAAAAGAGGATGGATGGATTCCTGTCAACAAAAATTTATGGTAAAATTTGCCCTAAAATTCTAATAGTTGAATAAATAAATAAATAAATATATATTTTTTTTTTTTACTTGTCAAAAAATATATATTCACCTTTATATATATATTTTTTTTTGGGAGGGGGAGATTTTTCTCATATGTCAGAAACACTGACAAAATACTTTATTTAAAAATCCATATTGATCTTTTGTTCATAATTTTTCTCACATGTATGTTTATAGGTCTCTATCGTATGTTTTTGCTCTCGCTGGGATGGCGTTCATATTGCTGGCACTTTTTTATTACGTTATAGATGTTGCCCACTGGTATTCTGGAAACCCGTTCTTCTATCCTGGTACGGTAATTCTATCCTGGTACGGTAATGTAAACTCACGCTAGGCCTAGATACATTACATTGTGTTTATCTATATCACATCTATGATCTCATGGTAGGCTAAGGTCCTGGTATTTGCATTAGGTCTAACCTTAAACCCTAGCAGACAGCTTTTCTTTTGTAGTTGGTCAAGTACAACAGAAACAATTGTCTGATCCGAACTTAATAATATTAGTTAATCCTCATTTTATAAGTGTATTATATGGCGGTATTTAAAGCGTAGACATTACTATCTTGTTAGAAATCTTAATACATTAAGTTTTATTTTTTTATTATAGTTTGGAATATTTTAGGTCGACTAACCGCCATCCAACATCGCCCTATTAACTTTTATATCTTGTTAGAAATCTTAATACATTAAGTTTTTTTTTTTTTATTATTAATACCAGTATTTGTTTTAAATACTAGTATTTGTAATAATTCTTTATGTTTTTTTTTTTGTATTTCTATTATTATATTGTATTGTATTTGGTATTATTATGTTCAGATCGTCTGCGTAATCACACTAGGAGCATTATTGTATGTATGTATGTATGTATGTATGTATGTATGTATGTGCGTATGTGTGTGTGTATGTATGTGCGTATGTGTGTGTGTATGTATGTATGTATGTATGTATGTATGTATGTATGTATGTATGTAATTAGATTTATATAGCGCGTAACACCGGGGTCTCTATGCGCTGATACAACAGAAAGCAAAAAATAACATAATATAATATATCTTATATACTTGTTTACAATTTCAAAACTATGTTAGGGGATGTGATCTCTCTTTCCCTTTCCTAGTACGTCAATGTGGGTGATAATAATTATATTAATTATATGTTGAAAGCGTCTGTGTAATCAGGAGCATAATGTATGTATGTATGTAATTAGATTTATATAGCGCGTAACACCGGGGTTTCTATGCGCTGATACAACAGAAAGCAAAAAATAATATAATATAATATATCTTATATACTTGTTTACAATTTAAAAACTATGTTAAGGGATGGGATCTCTCTTTCCCCTTTCCTGGTACGTCAATTTGGGTGATAATAATTATATTAATTATTAATTGTAATGATAGCTTCTGACATACGCCTTTAAGAACACCATTGTTTTTTTCATCTTGCAGGCATGAATTCGATACTGATCTACGTTTGTCATGAAGTGTTTTATAGCTATTTTCCATTGTCGTGGGCACCATACAAAGGCAACCACGCTGAATACCTGGCGATGTCACTACTTGGTGTGTCTATTTGGGTCATAGTTGCTTACTACTTTTACACTATTAAGTTTTTTCTTAAGATTTAATGTGGCCTACTGGATGAGAATGCATGGCTAGATGTGTTTGTTGTTTCATTTTGCAGGTGATGTTATCTCTTCTAAAAATTCATGCAGTGTATATTGCTGAAGTTATGAAATGCTTGCGCAAGTCTATGTTATGCACACCTACAAACATTTTAGAGCAGGTGGCGAGGGGGTTGGGGGATTGCCAGTCATAAAATGAATATACAATTTTGATTTTGACAGTAAATATGCGCGTCTCTTCCCCTGATTTGCTGCTAGTTTATTGCAATAGCCCATTAAAGTAAGTACTTGTATCCCACCAGACCTTTATTGTGACATTCATGTCATTAGGCAGTGTGTTTTAATATATAATATTAGTCATATATTTGATACCTTTGTGTGAAAAATTTATATCCAGTGACCTGGTGTACACATGTGATGTATGTACGTTGGTAGTGTAAATAAGCTATTGATCAATATCCGAACACTTGAAGAAGAAAGAACTGTTACTGAGCTCGAACAACATGTACATAGCATTGAATGTATGGATTAATTTAATTATAAGTTATACATTATACTGTAAAAAAAAACCAAAAAAACAAAAACAAAACCCGTTTTACTTAGCTTAATACTTACATATTAGGAGCGGTTGACGTAATTGTTGCGTTTCGGTCTCAAGGTCAGGGGTTCGAATCTTCGCTATGCATTTCGCTTGTGTTCTTGGACAAGGCACTTTACCTACGTTTGTCTCTACCCGGTTCACTACTGGGGAGGAAAAGGAACTAGCCACTCTACCACACAATGCCTAGGTGTAAGTACGATGGGCCAACAGCTCATTCCCCTGCGTTCAGTAATGAATACGGGACTACCTTTACCTTTGATAATAATATTAACATAAGGTGATAGGAAACAAAAATTTGTTAGAATAGTTTCCTTTTTCCAACGGCTTGCTCTTTTTAACGATGGTCAGAATTGGGCACCATGTTCTAACTTTTAAGTAAACGAATTGGGTATAGATACAAAACAGCTAGGTAGATGAAGGTAAAGGAAATGAAAACTTGTTAACAGAAGGTTTTTCTTTTTTCAACGGCTTGCTCTTTTTAACAATTGTCATATTTTGGCACCATGTTCTAACTATTAAATAAACGAATTGTGTATAAATGCAAAACAAAATCGACCAGTAGTTGATATTATACTAAATTCAATTCAATGTAAATCTTTATTCGACGACAATGATATAATAGATAAACTAAAAAATACGGACAGTGGTACATTGTTGGTGAAATGGAAACATTTTAATACTTTTCCTCTGACCTATGCTGTACTCCTAAATAACAGACACAAGTCAATGGACCATTCCGCTAAGCCCCGCCCCGTGGATATTGTTGTAAAGCTCCCATAAATCGACAGTAGCGCAGGTCTCACGAGAGCCCTAGTATCCGGATCGGGAGCTAACCATTAGCGCTAACCGTTAGCACCTGCGTGAGAACGCCCGATCGGTTAGCGCTAACCGTTAGCGGTATCCGGATACGCTAACGGTTAGCAAGCGCTATCGGTTAGCAAGTTGAGGGCGTTTCTATCATCAACCAATCACACGTACGCGTCTACAATTTCTAGTTTCTTGTTATCCAGTGATTCGATCATCATGTTGTTGGTATCCGGATCGGGATTTTCTCGCATGGACGCACGGCAGCTAACGGTTAGCAGGATCCGGATCCTGCTAACCGTTAGTTGCCGTGTGAGAACATAGCCAGTGTAAAAATATACGCAAACACGTGCGTTTGTGGGACAACACGTGTGTTTGCAGAACACGCGCGTATTCATGGCACTGTTCTGATTGGTTAGTTGTGATGTTTGATTGACACTCCGGAATGGTCGATTGAAACTAATTACAAATTAAGGTATACTTAACAGAAATTACGTAAACAGTGAGCTAAAGTTATATTATTTAAAATTCTGAGTAGGCCTAATTTGTTAAAAGATGGCCCTTGGATTTAGATTTAAAATTTTTACTTTAAACTACTAAAATAGAGTGAAATGATAATTTCAAAACAGTGGAGTACAATGATTACTATTTAAAATTTGGATTTAAAAAAAAAATCGTTAGAGTTGTTGAGACTGAGAAAGTGCTGTGAAATGCCTAGAAAATTATGTTACAACACACATTTTTATTTACATAATTACGAGTAGGCCTACATGCACACTATAGAGTGCAAGACACTAAAGTAATTGTATCATTCATAATATTGCTTACGAATAGCCTAAATGCCGGGCACTCAGTGCATTGTGAATGCTTGGAAAAGAAAATTTATGATTATCGCACCTCTAAGATGGCCGGAATTGGCACTCATAGACATAAAATTGTAAATATAATTTTCTGTTTACCTACATTTTAAAAATATTTTTGACAAAATTTAGTGGGACTCCGGGCCGACAGATCCCCACCCCACCTCTTTATTATGATATATGTCCTACAGTCGATTTCAAAGACACATTATGCTGTTGCCATTGTGGAGCTGAGATAAGAAAATGTATGATTATGGCACGTCTAGATGGCTTGAAATGGCACTCAGACTTACAATTGTGAATATAATTTTCTTTTTATTTTTAAAATTTGTTGACAAATTTGGTGGGGTCCCGAGCGGGTGGGGTCCCGAGCGGGCAGAACCCCCTCCCTTTAATCCGCCACTGGATATAATATGATATGCCCTGCAGAGACACATTAAGGTGTCATGTATCAAAACCTTTTTGGTCGGGGGCTCTGCGGACCGCCGCATGAGAGCGCATATTCGTTACGCCACTGGTCTGAACATATCGTCAAAGTCAGACAGTGGTGTATTTAGAAGTCTTGAAATAGAGGTGCTGATAGAGGGAGGAGGGGTGTAAAATAAGGTAATTTTAGGTGATTTTTTTAACTACCTGACCATGATTTTGGGTGGGGGGAGGGGAACCCCCTTGATACGCCACTGCAATGAGTATAAAACTGCAAGAGGTCTGAATGCCGTGGTTTTGTTTGAACGAAATCCTATTTCTAGAGAAGTAGGCATACTGCCACGACGAAAAAAAATATAAAATAAAAAAAAATAATAATAAAATACCTTCGTATCGAACGTATGCTGCGTGCATGTTCGAGTCTCGAACTCTATTCGAATTCTAACAGGGCGCCCCCTATCTTGTAGCAGTACTTTTTTAACGTTCCCATTGTGTTCATACAAAATCAGAGCAGTCGGAACTCTTGCAGCTCTATACACTTTGGTATCGTCATTCAGAAGATCCATTGCACACGCGTAGCGTTCTCCATGGAACCGCGTTGGGCCACGACCGTCGGGCTCAGTCGACTGTTTTTCTCAGTAAAGATAGTGAAATTATTATAATGATAGTCAATAAAGCACGGTTTTTATAAATATTTTAGGACGCATGTAATTAAGTTTAGATCTATTGCAAATGAAAACACTAGACCTAATATGCCATCACTAAACAGTTTCTGCTTTGCGGTCCTTGAATTAAAAAAAAATCCTTTTTATTAATGTTGTGAAAGCTTCCCGGAAAGCTTGACTACAAGCAGCGTATATAATGGGATTTAAAGCTGAATTAGAATATATCAACATAAATGAGCCCAACGCAGCATCACAGCTAAATCTTCCAGATATTGTCAACAGATTACCTATAGTACCGGGAATTGTACAAGAGAAAAAGCCGCACAAAATCAGAAACGTCATTTTTAAAGCTTTGTAGTTCTGTCTAGGTGTCGTAGCGTCTTGGATTGTTACCTGCACTGATGCTATTTGCCGCAAAGTTTTTCTAGTTTTAACGAATATTCGAATATGTAGAAAGCAAACTACCGTAAGACAACACACAATAAGAATAATCTCAAAACAAAAATTCCATAGTTCTGTAGCATATTCTGTGCTAAGTATTTGAGAAGATACGTTGAAGACCCACATGATGATGACAACCTTCTTTAAAAACTTACTGTTGATTCTACTGATATGAAAGAAAGGGTGAAACACAGCCAGGTATCTTTCAACAGCTAACAGCACATGGTGAGAGAGTGACAAATACCACATTATGTTCAGTACAGTTATTGTCATAACGCACAGAGTAGATTGACAGAAAGCAAGAGCTTGTTTTGACAATTGTAACAGAACATAATTAATACTACGTGAGAGTTATTGTTCCAAATAAAAGATGTATATTGAGGACGACACTGCAGCACAATAACTTCTTGTCGATTTTCTAATGAGTCCTTATACCGATCTACAGTATACCATTGTAGGACAAAAAGGTTCTGAATTAGGTGATACCCAATTCCTGACGATTCTATTTAAATTGCGTGATATCATTAGTTCAACTTTTATTTCTATGCTACCTTTAAAGAAAAATAAGGTAAACAGACATTATTTTCATTTCATCCAATTATAATAATGATAAGAAAGCTATAGTAGTTACGGTTTAAGAGAGCCCAAACTATCATTACGGTATCTTTTAAAAGATGTTAGTGTACGGCAAAAGGATAGCTTAAATGTGCTAAAACATAGCGATATAGGCCATGTGTGTTGTCACCCTGTTCCCGATAAACATTTGAAGGCTTCTCTGAAAGCTTGACTATGTGCAGCGTGATCGGATTCAAAGTTGAATTGAAATAAAATAACATAAATAATCCTATGAATTGTATCGTCTAAAAAAACTGCAAATGTATTAACTACAATACTAGGAATTATTGTGAAACTGAAAAGCACGTCCATTTTTAAAGCTTTGTATTTATGTGACAGTGTTGTCGCGTCTTGGATAGTTTTCCGCATGGACGCTATTTAAGTTTCAGCGAATATTCGAATATGTAGATAGCAAACTACCATAAGCCCACCTACTAAAATAGTTATCTGAAAATATAGCAACCGTAGTTCTATATAATATTGTGTACCAAATAATTGTAATAATTAGGAAGCTATTATTGATTCTAGTGATATGAAAGAATGGAAGACAGCCAGATATTTCTCAACAGCTAACAAAACCAGGTGACATATTGCCAATCACCACGTTATAGTAAGTAGAGTTGACACAAGACATGAGTTTCGTCGTTAGCTTCAATCCAGATGCCGTCCGTAGTCAATGACACCGCCATCACAACACCATTCACTGCTGTCAGAAGATCGACTAACGTCAGACTTGTCATACCTGCCACAACTGTATTGGCGTTTGTCTCTAATCTATTGTTTATCAATATGGCGTAAAACTACAATGTTTTCCACTATAATGAAAATATATAAATCATCAAAGGTACATAGTGCTTAAATAAGAACATGATGGAACATCATAGGGTAGCCTACGATGTTCCATCATGTCCATATTTAAACACTGTAGGCCTATATGTACCTTTGATGATTTATATTATATTTATTCAGCAGTGTTAACGGCTAACTCCCTTCAATATCATAATGAAAATAGTTATACAAATTTAGAGAGTTAAACCACCACTAGAAAACAAACATATTTATTTCGCAACACACAGGTATATTTTGGTTTTAATGACCATTTTACAATTATAACATTTTACGATGTTTAAAAATTCACAATATTAACTATAAGATTACAAAATACAGATCCTGTTTCATTTCGAAATAACAGATCAATATACCTATCTTGTTTCATTTGAGTTGCCCAATTAGATTAATAGCATTTTAGAAGTAACTGTATTAAATGATTCAGTGTAATAAAAATGTATTGTCCATCACGTCACGATGTCAAATTACCCATGCTTTTTGACAATATTATTACAAATCATGATCATTGTTTTGTGGGAGTTGTTGTTTCAAGTAAAAGACCAAAGTCAATCATTTTGCGGTTTTTTAGGTCGACACAGCAACACAATAGTTTCTTGTCAATTTCCTATCGAAATTCATTAAACCACTGTAGTGCATAGGCTCTATATTGAATCTCAGCGACTCGGTGCTACCTGGTTCCAGATGACTATTTAAATTTCATGATTTCTTCAGTTTGCATTTTCTATACCTAATTTATCGGGACAGAAAATCACTGTTATTTTTAATGTAATAATCTAAATGAGCCCAACTAATCATTACCCTTTATAGGGATGTAGTATGCGTACAAATGCCGTAGGATTAACCTAAAGGTTAAAAAAGCAATAATCTTGCACGTGTGTTGTGTTTCAGCCG